TATATATATATATATATATATATATATATATATATATATATATATATAGGGTTTGTCTAGAGTTAACAACCCCTCAAAATACAAAGGTTCAAGCTAGAAGGGGTTGTGATGGATATATTTATCAAAACAAACATTAAATTTTTATTAAAAGTTATTTAAATAGGTAACTTTACCATTGAGCAATGACAAATTTGAAATTTTCATAAAAGTACAATAGTATTTTGGAAATTAGTGTCCAGAAACTTTATTTGTAGAATGCTCGTCTTTTAATTAAAAGTTCAATTTTACCCCTTATGGAGATAACAAAAATACCCTTTGTCTTGTAGTAATATTTACAAATTTGCCCCACAAAAGTAAATTTTTTTAAAAAATAAAAAATAAAAATAATAAATCTACCATTCACAACTCTCTCTATCTTGAACCTTTGTAATTTGAAGGCTTGTGAAATTTAGACTATCCCATATATATATATATATATATAGAGAGAGAGAGGAGGGAGAGAGAAAACAATAATTAAGTTAAGGGTGCTATTTGAAAAGTATTGGAGAATTGGATGTTTGCAAAGTACATTCTAGATGTATATCTAGAATTTTCCTTAAAAATATTTTCCGAGCTTTCCCCTCGTGGGGAATGCTGCAAGCCTTGTGACTTTCCTTAAAGACGTTGGAAGCTATTCTGGGCTCCTAATCTCTACTTTTCCTTTATGTTTCTCTTTCCCACCCTCTCTCTCTCTCCCTATCTACACTCACTCACTTTCAAGCCCTGATCGATCTACTGCTCTTCCTGTCCCTCCTCTTGCTACGCCAACAAATAGGCTTCCAAAAACATTCATCTCTATCTAATCTCTCTCTTGCTCTCTCTCTAACCTCCGCCTTTGCAACACGTGGAAACTCTCTCTCACTAATTTTCTTCTCATCGAGGAGTTGATTTGCTGAGTTCAGTTACAAGGTCCTGCCGTACCAATAGTATGGTAGAATTTCTAATTTCGAAAAAAAAAAAGTCAAGGGATCCATGTTTTAAGGACAATATATGTTGTCAAAGGGTTGTTAAGGGAATAGTATATTACGTACATAGTATGGAAAATATATATATTATAGGATTGTCTATAAAGAGACCATTTATCTCTATTACAAGGACATCACAACTAGTCCTACTCTTTAAATGTCAAATTAAATGGCTTGGGGTGAGTCTTGAAGTCCGAGGAATATTTTTTAGAACTTTGTGTCTATTCACCGATACTCTTACAACCACCCATTGGAACTTTGTGTCTATTCAATGACCTCTTTGTTCGAAAAGTAATTGATATCTTTGTAGACAATCACATATATTATAATCGGGAAAGGTTGTGTGAAGGATCCTATATTTTATGATAAGTGTAGATATATTATACATCTGTATAATTTATTTTAATTCTTGTCTGTTGGAGGGTATTTCTGACATGCTTGTATCCCCGGTATGAACAAGGGAGAAGCTAGGGGTGACCTAGACCGACAGATACCAAAAATGCATGTGGACTATAGAAATCCTAAGCAAATAAGCCTAATTTTAGAAGAAATGCTAAAGGTGCCAGATTGACCTCAAGAACCATGGAAGGGTGGCATTTTGTGTTTTAAGAGTACCTGCCAAGTTTCGTCCTAATCTAATGCAAAGGCTTCAAATTAGAAAGGTTCAATTTTATGTTCTAAGAACCCCCAGATACCAATTTTATGCTCATTTAGATACTTCTGGACCATCCTAGGGCTAACTTACCCAAAATGGGTGGGTTTCACACTATTCACATGATGCCTCAATGAACCAGTTTTCATTTATAGAGACTGTGTCATTTAATTTTGGGATTGACTTGTAAATCTCACAACTCTCTCATCTGGGGGCCAATTGAGCCCAAATTTCAGTATGTGGTGGATCTCATCAAGCCCTACGTTTTGATATAAGATACGGCTCGAGTTGACACCCAAAATAAGAGAAATCATAGAGAGAAGATAAACCCAAAAACTCATATGTTGTAAAAATTTCAAAGAGAAATATACACCCATTCGAATGGCCATATCTCGAAGGCCCAACGTCGGATAGCATCAAATATGGGTCCATTGCGACCGTGATTCGAAGGGCTTCAATTTGACGTAAGATTTGTATGAGATTGAGGTCGGGAAAGGCACCCAATTTGAGTTCACAAGAAGGCACATTTTGCCATCGCTGCAATCCCATTTTCTGACGACTTTCAAAAATATAAAATTGATCAAACAAGTACCAAATCGAGGGGTTCTTGTTGCGAAATGATTATAACGACCTCCCATTCAATTTGTGATAAAGAAAGTGACCTTACATCTCTCTCTCTCTATCTTTGTCTCTATCTCTCTCTGTCTCTCTCTCTTGATATATATATATATATATATATATATATATATATGTATATCTTGCTCTCTCTATTATTCACATGCTTTCCCCACAAAATTAGGCCTCCCATCCATTTCGCCCTCGGTTTTTGGCTGTTGATCACCATCGACTTCCCATAGTTGATGTGAAAGCCCAAATCTCCGCGTAGTTATTCTTTGTGAGGCGTGAGACTGAACATTCTGAAGAATGAAGAACACTCCTTAGAAAAACATCGAAATACATTCAAATACGCATGCATAAAATATGCTCTTTGACTAATTGTATCAGCCAATTGATTCTTAGTGAAACCAACATCTTTCTTCCAAACATCTTTCTTCTTCTTAGGCTTCTTCTATGTCTTGATCTATTGTGATAACCATGCTTTATGTTTTGGGTCATCAATTTTCTTTGAAGGTTATAACTTCCGCTTCACCTTCTTTGTCTTAGGCTATTGATTGTTGGAATGCTTCCTGACCATCACTGGA